CGGGCGCGGGGGGGCGGGGCGCGAATCTGCGGCAGCCCCGCGGAGGAGGGAAGTTGGCGGGAGGGGAGCGCCTCTGCTCGCTGCCCGGGAAGGACGGGGCACGGCAGGGCCCGAAATGCGTCGGCCTCCCCGCGTTGTGGGCAGAGATTCCAGGCAGGCGGGAAGAGCGAGGCGATGGGCGGGTTCGCTCACCTGCTTGGGCCGGGCGAGGGTCGGCGATGCCTTTTGCATCCTGGAAGATGCTTAAAAGCCGAAGGGACGAAGCCCTGAGCCACCTCTTGGCCTTGTTTGAGCAGAGGGAGTGGGCGAGTTGAAACTCCCCAGGTGCCTTCCCAGCCTCCAAAAACGCGGATCCTCTGAAGTTGCGAATAGGAGCAGGGAGGGCCATGCAGCGCTGCGGGCTTGAGCATCCGAAGCTCACATGCTTCCTGGGTGCTGCATCTAGTAGACAGAGAGGTTTTGTGCTCCCTGCATGATTTGATACAGCCTCTGAAAGTCTGTGCATCCAGAGAGAGAAGTCCCGTTAAGTTTTGCAGGGATAGGACTGGTATATATACTTTGGAGCTTAGGCACTTAGCACTATTTTTAATTGGATCATTTGCTTGCTTTGTAAAAATATAAAAAAATGCAAACATTTGAGTATCAGAAAATTAAATAGTATAACTGAGCTATAAGAAAACAGCAGAAGTGATACATATACACAGTTCTAGCAAAGTGTTAGGTTAAGAATAGCTATATTACTGTGTATTGTGTGCAATCAGAAATTCACATTTGAAGCATTCATTTGTCAAAGAGGATATATTAATATGGACAGGGAAAAAGCATTAAATACACAGCATTACAGTGCTTAGTTTATAGTTAAAGAACATACTGACATCAAAACAAGTCTCTTGTTAATATATTAAGATCTAAAGGAAAACAGGTGATGATTAAGTAGCTAGAAAGTTGGATTACGAGTAGTCTTGCTTTTGACAAACTGTTGTAGCACTACACATAGACATGATAAATTCATGGAGTTTTGATGTTGATTTCTTTCAGATTTTAGTAGTAAGATTTACATGGAGAATTTAGGCTGGAAATTTTGGAAGTAGAAAAAAATACTGATTAGTCTAAAAAGGCACAGTCCAGAATCCCCTGATTCATTTAAATTGTACCAAAAATAGATTCAGACATTTTTTCCTCTAAATGTTTTTGAAGGTGTTTTTTTTTACTTTTATCATGCTAATGCATTTCTGCGATTCAGTGAGCCTTGAATTTTCTGCATCTGAGGAGGATGACTTACAAAAAATTCTAATAGATTTGTGACTGAATATTGGTTTTCTGCATAAAAGATGTAGGTCTTACTTGTCAAGTGCAGTTGTAGTAAGTTACTTTTTTTTCCCCCAGCTATATGTTATTAAAAGTTTTTTGTAGTTGCTGTAGGAGAACATACTTTAGAAATTACCTGTTCTAGGAGCTTTCAAGAACTTTGGAGTTCCTGAATATTAAAATTAATTTTCTTAGCACAGATTCAAATCTGATTTTACAAACCATGAACATAATGCATAAAATAATATTTAGTACTAGTAATTATTAGTGCAGTTATTTTTAGATCATGTGTATTAGAAAAGGGACAGTGTATTTAAGTTGTTCATAGTGGGGAGATTAGCATAAATCACAGTTCAAGTAACTACTGTAAAACTTAATCCTCTGGTTTTTGGATAAACTGGTTTCTCTGATGCAAATGTTTGTGGCATTTGTTGTCTGGAAGCTCAGACAAGAGAAGCAGAGGCTCTTCCTCCTTACTGGAGGAGGATAATGACTACCTTTGAGCACAAGGTATGAGGAGCTGCTGACTTGCTGCTGCTTTGCACCAGGTGAAGTTCAATGATCCTGTGGAGGAAGCAGTTTTGAAGCCACCTCTGAACTGCTCAAAGTCATGTTTCTGAATACCGGCTACTTTAAACTAAAGTTGCTAATCTCCTGGCACCATTATGGGATTTGGGAGTTGGTTTCTGGTTGTGTTTTTATTTTTTTATGGAGGCATCTGCTAGGAGGACTTAACAGTTGTAGTTGAGTGTAGAAGCTACTGATGAACTGAGAATGCAGAAACTCTGCTTAGTTTGTGAAGTTGTCACAAGCAGGCAAAGAGTGCATGTGAACTCATAAGGCTAGGAAATGGAAGCTACTGATGAAGGAGGTGAGGGCAGGCTATTAAGGATTTGTAAGAAAAGAAGGTAAATATAGCAGTAACGTGGAGACAGGCTTTAAATGTTCTAGTACTGTGTTACTTCATGTATATCCTTACTCCTGTGCTATCTGTCCATTACCTTTATTTACCAAGTAGCTTTTTTTCTTGCTCTACTTAAAAACTGATGCCATTCACATTCATCATCTGTTTATGCACACATCTGGTTCATGTTGGATTAAAGGCTTGCTTTAGTGGGACTGTTGGAGTGAATGAAGAATGAGTGAGGTCTTATCTTAGAAACACATTGAGAGTATTAGACTGGAATTACTATATTAAAAGACAGGACAAGTTGGGGTTCATTATATGAGGGCAAGCATCTGGTGTTTGTAATTCATACTAAGGTTGTGCAGAGTCTTGACTTTCATTTTCAGTAAGAAAAGTATCTAGCATGTCAGGCTGTAAAGATAACCTTCCAAGTATGACCTGAGTTTAAGTGGTCTCTGCTTGAGGCTGATGGTGCCTGAAGTCCAAATGTCAACCTTAACTGTTTAGTTACAAACCATTTTTGTCTGGGGCTTTGAATGAGAGTTGGAATTGTTACTGAAGTCCGTGGGATTCCTAGTTGAGTAATCCATTTGTATTACTTCTCCTGAGAAGAGAGGACAGTTACAAAAGAAAAACAGTTTGGAAAACAGACATCAGAAGGAAAAGAAACAAAAGGCATAAAAGCAGTGTTTTTGGAAAGTAATTTCTCAGTATGTTCTTGTATTGGTAGATGTGACAATGTTACTGAATAGTAAATAAATTAATATGATAGATGGTTTTATTTCCGTGATCTCTCAAAAATTAATCTGGGTCTTTAATGTGACACCCTAGATTGAGGGCTGGATGTGATCAGCTTTTGTCTGGACTATAAAAAAACTACTCTGCAGGGGAAGAAAATGAAAAACACATAAAATGTAGCTTCACTTTTATTTCTTCGTTCATTAATGTTTGGCTTTTGTGAATTTTGTGGGAGAATTTTTAAAAAGCTTTTTACTTATCTTGCTTAATAGTTGGTTTTAAATGAACTCAGCAGAGATGACTCTTTTACAAAAGTAAAAAAAAAAGCCTGGTTTGTTTGTTTGCTTTTTTTCCCAAAGTCAGGATAGTGAATGGACTACTTAAAATCTGGGAATGTCTGTCTGTTTTTGTGGAGATCATTTGGAACATAATGTAACCAGTGGAAACAAAATATGTAGTTGTCCTCATGAAGAAAGGATGATGACCTAACTAGAAGTTACTGTCATTTTAAAATAAATTTTTTTCTCCTTTTAATTCTTAACTAAAATAAATGCTACTTGCATCACAAACCAATTAAAAGTAATCCAATGTTAAATGTGATATATTTGATAACAAACAGTGAAAAGTGAGAATCTTGAATGCTGTGAAATAACCCTGTTTCCTTCTAGTAATAATTATCTGACTATCTTTTGCCAGGTTTATGGCTACTAATGACTTGATGACAGAACTACAAAAAGATTCTATCAAGCTGGATGATGACAGTGAAAGAAAGGTAGTGAAGATGATTTTGAAGTTACTGGAAGATAAAAATGGCGAGGTGCAAAACTTAGCTGTGAAATGGTAGGTATTTTTTTCTATTGTGTAAAGAGTTGTCTAGTGAGTGAACAATATAAAGTGCTTTTGAAGTACTTAAAGGGAACACTGCTAGGCAAAATAATTGTGAAATTTATGTCCACAAGGGAAGCCTTGTACTTACACAAGACTACTTGCCTTAATTGTAGTTTCTTACAGAACTGTCTTTTGTTGACATTGCAGTTTAATATTTGGGGTTCCAGGTGGCAAATGCTGTCCTTGCTGAAGGTATATGAAGGACATGCTTGTTCTCTGGTGATAATTCTGGAATGCTAAATAGATTTGAAAAGATTAAAATTAATAGGTACTACATTTATTATGACTGACCTTTTTGTTCTTAGCCCCTCTGACTCTTTTTGTGCCCTTCAAGGAGGGCCTTTTGGTTAAGAAGCTTCTCATGTTCCTGAGGATGTTCCTTGTTCATGAGCTCAGGGTATTTAATATTTCTTCAAACAATACAAAATGCCGTGTTTATTTTTAATTCAAATTTCTGAAATGTTGCAGTTCCTTGTGGTACAGTTTAAGAGCTCCATTCCTTGCCTTTCAGACAATTCTGTTGCTTCAGTGGCCTCTCTTCCTCACTGCATTTAACTTTACATGTGATGTGGCTCTTCCAGATCACCCTTTGAATAGGTACTACATTTATTATGACTGACCTTTTTGTTCTTAGCCCCTCTGACTCTTTTTGTGCCCTTCAAGGAGGGCCTTTTGGTTAAGAAGCTTCTCATGTTCCTGAGGATGTTCCTTGTTCATGAGCTCAGGGTATTTAATATTTCTTCAAACAATACAAAATGCCGTGTTTATTTTTAATTCAAATTTCTGAAATGTTGCAGTTCCTTGTGGTACAGTTTAAGAGCTATGGCTTTGAAACAGATTGCTTGTACTCAATCACAATGGTAGATTATTATGAATCTTGGCTCAGGATTGGAATTGGTTTTTGTGTGAAATACCATCTTGTGGAAAAGTTTCATTGCAATGCATATGCAGTGCTCTCCTGCAGTCAGATGAGCATTGGTAGAGGCAGTAGTGGGGTGAAGGATGTGAGAGGTTGAACAATGTTAAGCTGTAGTTTTTTCTTTTCAAGCTGATCCAAAATCTTCCATCTAGTACAACACTGCATATAAACCAAATTTATTGGGAAGTCAAATTCAGCCAGCATGTTTTGGTTTTTTTTTACACTTTTTGTTTTTCAAAAATATCTTGTGTTGTTGTTTGTTACTGGTGTATTTCTGTTATGCGTTTGCTGGCATTTTCAGCTGAGGAAAGCATAAACTGTGTTTAGGTCTCTTATGATTTAAATTCTCTGGTGAACTTTATACACTATTGGCAGGAGCTTTGATCAGACTGGTACTTGATGACCCATTTAAGTAAAGATTCCTTCTCATAGAAAAAGGATTTAAGACAGCCCTATGTACCTTTGAATCTGTTTTTGAAGCAGATTTTTCCTTGAGGAAGGGAGGAAAGATTTGCAGTTTGTTGGGGGAGCTTCCTATACAGGTAGTTCAATGGAAACACTATGAATGGCAAAGGTATTGATCACTGCTTGGGCAGCTAAGAATCTTTTGCGGGAGAATCTCACTCTTAAGGTTTGTTTCCTGAGATCACTGAACAGAGCAGATGTAAAACAATTCAGAGCAGCCTTAAAGCAGCATTTATTTTTAGGAAAGCATAGCAACGAGTAAGCAGTGTTCCTGGTTTTGCCTTATCCTCTGCTTGCTTTCACATTTGGCTCTATAGGTTAAAACGTTGATGAACTTGTTTCTTATTATGTCTTCAGAGCACACTGGTGATTTTGTTCTTAATCCTTTTGGTTATGTATACTGGTTTTGGACAGCATAAAACTTGTTGCTCTTTGGTTAGCAAGTTAGGTTGAGAGTTCATGGATATTTGCTTGTGTTGCAAATATGATTGTGCAGTTCATTTCTGAATAAAAACTAACATTAATAAACTGTCATAGTACTCTTGGAGTAAAAGTGAATTTGCTCTAGGCTTTTACCCTGCAGAAGGGGAAGGAGTGTTTGGCAAGCGTATGTTACTGCAGGCACTAGATGCAAACTAGGTCAGTAGCTGCAGGTTGTTCACCTTGTTTTTCTTAAGAGCATGTCAAATTTCAAATGTATTCTTTTTGTCTGCATTTTTTCTGGAGAAGTTGTTTTTTTGCTCCAATAGTCAGAAGCTGTTCTACAGTCAGCCAGTATAGAAGGTGCTGTTGATTGTTCTTACAGCATATATGTATTTTAAGGCTGTTTGTCTAGTCCAGCATGGCATTCTGTGGACCTTACAGTGATAGTAGTTATGCTGCCTGTAGTTCTATCCAGTAATAAGTCCATCTGGATTAGACAAGCAGTATGGTTTCTGTTGGATGGACTGTTCTTCATTGCTGGTAATGTTAGTTATGTTCTGCTGGCCCAAATTGCGCATTAATAATTTCGTATGTTCAGTGTTGCTGTTTAAGGATGAACTGTTTCTCATTTTGAGCAGTTATCTGTGGCTTGATACTCTGCCTTTTAAACCTATGCTTATAAACTTTTGCTTCACACCGTGAAAGGCTTCCTTCAACCTGTAAAAAGCCAAACAAATGCATGTGCATTTACATATATGTGAAAAAACCCTGGGACTAATGTATGTATTTCACTGATTACTGTGATCCTGCAGTTTGTCTGCATTTATTGATGTGATTTCTCCGGGCAGTAGTTCAATAGAGGGAACCCTGCTTGATGCTGTGAGTGAGTCATTAGTGTGAACAGGATGATGCACATGTTGGCTGTTGTGTGGCTGATCCGGGTCAGCAGCTTTAAAGTGTTGCGGATGGCGTGGCAAAACACTGCTGCACATCAGTCAGCAGCTTTAAAGTGTTGCGGATGCTGTGCTAAAGCACTGCTGCACATCAGGCTATACAGTGATTTGATTAATTTTTTTCCCATTTGTGAATCTTAACTCTTCCCTATAAGTAAATACGCTTGTTTAATAGCTACTAGGATGTCAGTTTGAGATGATATTTGATTATGAGTTGGTGGTGTTCTTCCTAGTAAGGAGCTACACTCTGAGCACCTTTATTTTCAAATGTATATAACTTCAAGGAGACAGTGTCTTATAGTCGCTGTTTGTTTCCTTAGGCAGCTGAATGAGCTTTTGACTTCTGGAAAAAATGGAAAAGATGAACAAACACTTAAAAAAATATCTGAAACTGCCTTCAAGTGTGTAAAATACTTAAGTACAAAAAGCTTTGTATTCTAAACTGATTTTATTAAAGAAGGTTATAGGTTCTTTTCTACTTCTCATAAGCTCAGGTTGTAATCTGGGACTAATAATAAGGTCTGTAAGTGATATGTACCAATTTTAAAGGCCAAAATATCTTGAGGCAGTCTTTTTAAAAATTTACTTCACGATTGGTATGTCGACTTTATTATAATAGACTGAATAAATAGGACTGAAGATGCTAACTCAGGTAAAATCTGGCTTAACACTTTCTAGAAACTAATTTCAAGTGTTTGTGTGTGACTGTGTTGTTTCAGTTATGGTCATCTTTAAAACATCAGTAAAAGTGTTTCCTATACTTAATGGAGATGAATCTAATTGACCAGTCTTTGCTGTTACTAATTTAGCTACTCATAGGTTACACTTGAAAAATAAACTTATTTCAACTAGAATAATTTAATGGTTGTTCAATAGTTCAGATAATAAAAGCCTTACCAACTTTTCAGGTGTTTTCACATATAGAGCAATGTGGCTTTTTTCGTGGAGAACTGCTTCTAGTTTGTCAAAGTCAGTGTTTAAAAGCATGGTGTCAGCTGCAGATCTCTAGGATGTAGAAGATGTATTTTTTTATACAGCTGCACATGTAATTGCAAACTGCAAAACCAGAAGACACGAGCTTTAGCAGTGAAAGGAGGGGTGACATTGCCACCCAGGAAGCAAACTCACTTGCTGTTGATCAAAAGCAAACTTTAAGGATTGCTACTGTGAAGGCTTCCCATATTTTCGAAAGGATACTACTACTTAGTTTTATATGAAGACACTTCCGTAATTATACATGTGCTTGTTTCTGCTTCTCAATGCTTCTATTTATAGTACTTCTGTTGGAGCATGCACCATTACAGATTTGAAATGGTGTCTACAGATTCTGTGCTTTAACCTTTGTATACCATACTCTGTTGACTGAAATGCACAAGGTATTTTTCTGTGCAACTGTGAACAGTCACCATGCCTTGGAATTGTGATTGTTTCTGTTCTGGCTGGTTTGTGCTAGTGTTGCTTGCAGAACAGTTTACTACCCATCAGAGGTAGAAGAACACAACACTGCTGTGAATAGCCGCTCACTGAGTATTTGCAGAGAAACTAGTGATGTGTCAGTAGGGCACTGCAAAGGGAAAGTGTGATTGAAGACTGAAGTCAGGTTGTGGAGAAACCCGTAATCTTTTCTCAGTGACTGGGGGAAAATATTTCAACTTCTAGGGATGCAGTCAGGGGTGGCTTGATGTATTTTGAGTCCGGGAGTTATTCTTGGTGATAATCTGACTGTTATCAAATGCTTATGTACAAATTTATCAGGAATTTATCTAGTGGAGACAAAGGTCTTTACCTCACTATCAATATCCAAAAAGTATTTTAATAAAATAGCAGTTATCATTTAACATGATTGAAGCAGTAATGACAATCACATAATATTGTGTATATGGTCCTCTAAACCATGGCTTTCAGGAGTTTAATAGCTGTAGAGACTGTTCAATTTAAAGATTTCAGTACGGTGCCGTTTTCCTGAATTACAGGGCAGTGCCAGGTTAGGGCTTGAGGTTTGGCTGCTTTTAACAAAGGGTCAGAGCTGCTTGTTTTTGCAGGAGTAGGTGAACCTGCTGAAGCAAGTCAAATCATTCCATTACATCTTTGTTTCTGTGCACTTAAAGGATTTTTTTCATCTTCCATCAAATACCAGTCAGTATCGCCATTAACAGTTCTCTTGAGATTATCTGTATGCAGTATCTTTAGAAATGTTGTACCAAAGTTGGTGTAGTTATTTTTAAGATACTTGTGTATCTGTAAAGTACTCTGCAAAATAAGTAAACTGAAGTCTTTCTGACTGTGGCATTGGGGTGGTCATAATGCATCTATTTCAGATGTATATTATGTAATGTGGAGACTTGGCCTCAGTGTCAAATTAGCTTGAAGTTTTGTGCATTAACAAACCTGAGTTATTAGTATGTGATATTTCAGTGCACATTTTCAGTAATTATGTTTTGCATTTGCTGTTGTTTTGGTTGTTGTTTGTTTGTTGGGTTTGTTTGTTTAGCTTTGTTTTTTTGTTTTTAAATTCCAAAATTGCCTGTATTTTCAGCAGGCTTTACCACATGAGTAGGGTGATGCTGGATAAGGAGTGAAGGAAACCAAGCAGGTTACAGTTTGTTAAGGAAGGCATGGGAAGCAGTAGGTGAGAATGTTTTGGGAATTGCATATTCCTGAGTATTGATCTAGGTGCTGTGCCTCAAGCACAACTACGGTTTTGAGTTTACGTGGGTAAGGCGTTATGAGCATAACCGTTGAAAGAGAACCATTAAAGCCAAAACTTTGAACCCTACTTTGCTTACTGTGGTATTTTAAGTAACACTTGGTGCTTGGATGCAAGATCTTGCTTTACACAGTAGATGAATCTCCTTTGTCCATGTATTCCCCCTGTCCATACTTCTTGCCTAGTATCTTTTGCTTCTGCTGAACATTTTTTATGATAATTAGCTCTTGCCACTGTGAATTATTTGACTTGGGAAAGAAGATTAGCAGCAGTGAGATACAAACAACAGCTTTTGGGATGGAAAATGCATTTTGTTTTTTTCTTACTGTATAGAGCCATGTGTGCTAGCTGTCCAAGAGTGAATGAAGGCCATTGATCTCAGCCATTTGAGTCCAGCTGGAATTACTGGCTTGGAGTCTTCTTAGACTAGTTGTCCAGGCTACCTCCCTCCAACAGCTGTGTCTAACAGTTCAGTTTGAGCTGTTGCAACACAATGTTGTCTTTTTTTTTTTTTCAGGAGTGGAGATAATGGGTGAGTAGATCAGGTAGAACAAGGATTTTTTTTGAGGTCTGCAGTTGTCCTGTGGTGTAAGCTATAAGGTGGAGAGGGATGGCTCTGGAAAGAAAGAGAGCACCTCTAAGGCAGAAAGTGTGCAAGGTGTGGGGAACTGAAAGGTGTGTTTGGGAGCCTTTTTTGCAGGAGGAATTGAAAGCTTGATGTTCTGAGAAAAGCCAAGGCTGAGTTTCAGAGAAATGTGGAACATGTTGGTTTGGATTTACCCTGGAGGTGCTTCTGAGCTGTGTTTGACCAGATTGTTCCACTTTTTTTTCCCATGCACACCTGAAAGGACAGCTGCTCTGACCGGAAGAGGGGATTGATAAAGTAACTTTTAAAAATTAACAGATCCATTGTCCAGTTTGACTGTACATGCAAAAGATAATTCAGTCTCATCTAAGGTGCCGAGTGAGATGAAAAAATTATGAGATAATACAGAGTGTGTATTGTTCGAGATGTAAAACAACTGCAAGAGAACATTTCCTTGTTAAGAGAGCTTTGGAGCAACGGATCCTCAGATCTCCACTCCTAAAGCAATGCAGAAATTTCTCTTTTCCCTAGCAGACCAGCCATGGTATTCATATGTAGGGCTGTCTTGCTGACATTCTTGGAAAATACAGTACAGAGCTCCTCAACTAGCTTCAGTGCCTTTCTGCTGAATGCCATAGCCTCAGATCTTTCATTCTGAATAGTGATCTGTGACCTGTGTCTTCCCTCGCAGCTGCCTGGCTGACAGTTTTATTAGCTAGTGGTGAACCCAGGATCCAGCTGTGTTCTTGGAAAGTTTAGACTTCAACTCCAGAGTAATTTCTAGTATACAAGAAAAAACCATTTCGTTTGTCATCTTAACTTCAGAGTGATTTTTCTGTTTTAAAACACTTGTGGGTTTCTGTAATACAATAATGTGGGCCTGAGTATCATAACTTAATTTGGATTCTAAATTATGTACTTCTAGAATAATAGCCTTAATTGAGAACCTAGCATCTTGCTAGCTTGGATGGAATTTCTACTTGCCTATAGATGATTCAGCTGCACAAAACTAGAAGGGGACTTAATGCCTGTGCTTTTAAAAATAATTTTCATAATATTATGAAATTAAACCAAAACATTTATTTTTCACCATTGTCATAAGTAAGGTCTGAAAGGAAGTACTTTCTATCTAGATAGTTTTATTTCCAGTAATCTGGTAAAATAAGAATATGATGTATTGACTTTATTACTTTTACTAGAACAGCATACTGATATTTGTTAATCAGGGTTTAGTTCTGTACCATGATCTGGCCTGGAGGTGGAAGTACCTAATCTCTTGAGCTTGTTTTGTTTTTATAAAGTGCTTTAAAAGGCTAGTTTTGAGGAGAAGGAAAAATATTTACCCTTGTGTATCAAACTAACTTACGGCTGGGCTGTTTTAAAAGTTTGCTATTTGTTTCAAATTCATAAAAATTTAAGTGTCAATTAATGTATTACAACTTTCCAAATATTACAGGGTTTTTTTCTAAGCATGGGGAACCAGCCCATCTTTAGACAAGATGTTCCCTTTGCACTTAACAAGGAGTTAAACTTGGCAAATACTTCTAGTTGAAAGTTGTTTATTTTAAATTATGCTAATCTATTTTACAAATAATTTAATCATCTGCCTTCAAAAATTCTGCATACTTCTGATGCTTCAACAAGGTTGTGACCATATGGTCCTAAATCATTGCAGTCTCAAGTCTGACAAAGTTGTGAATAGTGACATATATTTGAAAATTTAAACTTTGTGTTCTTGATCTTAGTCTAGTTTTGATAGTAAATCAGTTCATTCATTTTTCTTCTAGGGTTTTCAGTTTTGATTTCCATCTTCCAAAATTAGTGTTTACTAACCCTATTGACATAATTTTAGTCTCAATTACCTTTGCTAGAATCAACTGTAATGAAAAGCAGATGTGGAAAAAACTAAAGTTTATATAGAGGCATTATATTCTAACATAACCCTAATATATTCAGGTTATGATTGGCTTTAAGGTGCTTCTTTTCCTGCATTTGCTCATACATTGATTTCCACATATTCCAGTTTTGTTGTTCCAATTTATAGAGGGGTTCTCTGCATACATTGTGTACAATGTTGAAGGGCAGACACAACATTTGAACCCTCTCCTTGTAAGCCACAGAAACGTCCATGATTTCTGATCCATAATACTTGGCTCTGTCAGTTGCAGTAGGAGACATGGCCTCTTAGCTCAGCACTTGAAACCACTGTACTGCTCTCTGTGCTTGTGGCAGAAATCTGATGGAACCATTTCACAGGCTTGTTTTGACTTTCTGTAAGTTGGCCCCTGACTTTCACAAAAACAGCAACAAAATTTAAGCTTTTGGAAAATACCTACTAAAAATAACAACTTTGTGTTCCTCAAAATCTAAACCAGATTGTTTTGTTACAAAGGGGTAACTTTAAATCCTCACACTTCTCATCCCATCAGAGTTCACACTGAGAACACACATGTAAAATCACTTTAAAATCTGTGCTTTCTAATTATGGCTGAAATTGATTTTGATAATGATCTGTATAACTTCAAGTGTGTTTCATAGAAGGAGAAACATTGGGGTGCTGTTGAGAATCAAGCTGTAGGATTTCCTGGGTGGGGCATCTGGAGCAGCTGCAAAGCGACTAGGATGGTCTGTGCTAAAGACTTCAGCCAGAATTCTGTTCATTATCCCTTTGCTTTAGATGGAAGAGAAAATAAATAGTAGTTTACTGGGGATAAATCTGTGTTTCTGTTAATTTTGCTGGTGGGCTACACTTCCAGTTCCACAATTCCCACATTTTCTGTAGATGGTCCTCGCTACAGCTGTTTCCATTCTTGCCTCAAGCCATTGCTTTTTCTCCTGTTGTTTCACACTACTCCTTGTCCTCCAGCCCTTGCTTCTATCAGGGTCAGTGCAGAACCTGAGCTTGGTAGAAATTGAGCTGCATGTCATTACTCACTTCTTGTGTTGATGTCTCATTAGTAAGCATGCTTTCTTGATTGGAGAGTAATACTGTGGATATCACCACAGAGAGTTAAAGAGGGAATAGCTGGAAAGATGAACATACATAGAACAGAGGCTTACAAACAAGGGAGCTAGGTCTTTCAGAGTGTTTACTGTATGTGTAGGTTAACTGTACTGGTAGCCTATAGCACAGCTTTGGAAACACTTTTTTTTTTCAGAATTTCATGTATTAATGTAGTCTGTTTGAGGCAGTTGAATTAGATTAAAAGATTTGGTAACTTAAAGCCTTTCAAAATTGATTTTCCATTTCTGAGATTCTTTGTCGGAAGCCAGGTGTTTTAAAAATAGTGAAAATGTTGACAACCCACCCAGTTAAAGGTGTTGAGATTTAAAAATTCTGCTTTATATTGCTACCAAAACCGACTTTTAAGTTTGTGACTTGAATGCAAAACACTGAAATAAAATGAGATTTATTTAGGGTTGCAGATTTAATACCTTTCTTCTCTTTATACAGCCTTGGCCCTTTGGTGAGTAAAGTGAAGGAGTATCAAGTGGAGACCATTGTAGATACCCTCTGTACAAACATGCTTTCAGATAAAGAGCAGTTACGTGACATTTCAAGCATTGGCCTTAAAACTGTGATTGGAGAACTCCCCCCAGCTTCCAGTGGTAAGGCATTTTGTACTTAAGACTAGTTTTATCATTTCAGTACAAATTTTAAAAATGCAAAAGCTGGATCCTTTAGTGAAAAGGATTTAGTTAATTTAACATTAGAACACATTTTTGTCAGGGGAAAAATGTATGGCACAAATAGCCTTTTAGCTTTTGCTTTGACTTTATTTCCAGATTTTACTAGTTTAAAACCTTTGTTATGAAGAATGTGAGAAACAAGCTTAGATTATAATAACTTTAGTATAACAAATTGAGTGTAAAAGCTCCTATTTTAATAATTATCTGGTGGAACATTTTTAGTCTGCGTAATAGCTAAATCTCATCTTGCTTTTTGATTGATAGTATTTTTTAAAATTTATTATAACTTGGGTATTTTTGTGATCTGATTTCTTGTCTCAGTTTCTGGTAGGTGTTTTGGAAAGTACATTGTGTTTCTAACAATTGTCTGTTAAATTATTGAAATGCTTACCTGCAGTTTTAAATGAGGGCAGTCTTTCCCTCAAAAGAGATAGTAATCATGAACAGCTCATCAGCTAATGGCATTACTTTTGTATTCAAGTGATTTTCAGATACCTTGTGGAGAATATGAATGAGAAATGATTAAATACGCTTTGGAAATGCAGTTTTTAGAGACTTAGGTTTCTTAAAGCAGAAAGGTCTGATTTTGACATCCTTTGTTGAAAGTTCAAATATAAGTCTTGCTTTTATCAAGCAATAGTGAAATGAAAAAACTTTAAATAACTAATTTTAAGTAAATCAGTTTAAGCTTTTATTCTGAGGCTTTTATTCTAAGGTTTTAAACTGAAAGAGTGTGTCTCATTAGTAAGCATGCTTTCTTGATTGGAGAGTAATACTGTGGATATCACCACAGAGAGTTAAAGAGGGAATAGCTGGAAAGATGAACATACATAGAACAGAGGCTTACAAACAAGGGAGCTAGGTCTTTCAGAGTGTTTACTGTATGTGTAGGTTAACTGTACTGGTAGCCTATAGCACAGCTTTGGAAACACTTTTTTTTTTCAGAATTTGATGTGTTAATGTAGTCTGTTTGAGGCAGTTGAATTAGATTAAAAGATTTGGTAACTTAAAGCCTTTCAAAATTGATTTTCCATTTCTGAGATTCTTTGTCGGAAGCCAGGTGTTTTAAAAATAGTGAAAATGTTGACAACCCACCCAGTTAAAGGTGTTGAGATTTAAAAATTCTGCTTTATATTGCTACCAAAACCGACTTTTAAGTTTGTGACTTGAATGCAAAACACTGAAATAAAATGAGATTTATTTAGGGTTGCAGATTTAATACCTTTCTTCTCTTTATACAGCCTTGGCCCTTTGGTGAGTAAAGTGAAGGAGTATCAAGTGGAGACCATTGTAGATACCCTCTGTACAAACATGCTTTCAGATAAAGAGCAGTTACGTGACATTTCAAGCATTGGCCTTAAAACTGTGATTGGAGAACTCCCCCCAGCTTCCAGTGGTAAGGCATTTTGTACTTAAGACTAGTTTTATCATTTCAGTACAAATTTTAAAAATGCAAAAGCTGGATCCTTTAGTGAAAAGGATTTAGTTAATTTAACATTAGAACACATTTTTGTCAGGGGAAAAATGTATGGCACAAATAGCCTTTTAGCTTTTGCTTTGACTTTATTTCCAGATTTTACTAGTTTAAAACCTTTGTTATGAAGAATGTGAGAAACAAGCTTAGATTATAATAACTTTAGTATAACAAATTGAGTGTAAAAGCTCCTATTTTAATAATTATCTGGTGGAACATTTTTAGTCTGCGTAATAGCTAAATCTCATCTTGCTTTTTGATTGATAGTATTTTTTAAAATTTATTATAACTTGGGTATTTTTGTGATCTGATTTCTTGTCTCAGTTTCTGGTAGGTGTTTTGGAAAGTACATTGTGTTTCTAACAATTGTCTGTTAAATTATTGAAATGCTTACCTGCAGTTTTAAATGAGGGCAGTCTTTCCCTCAAAAGAGATAGTAATCATGAACAGCTCATCAGCTAATGGCATTACTTTTGTATTCAAGTGATTTTCAGATACCTTGTGGAGAATATGAATGAGAAATGATTAAATAGGCTTTGGAAATGCAGTTTTTAGAGACTTAGGTTTCTTAAAGCAGAAAGGTCTGATTTTGACATCCTTTGTTGAAAGTTCAAATATAAGTCTTGCTTTTATCAAGCAATAGTGAAATGAAAAAACTTTAAATAACTAATTTTAAGTAAATCAGTTTAAGCTTTTATTCTGAGGCTTTTATTCTAAGGTTTTAAACTGATTTTTAGTGTAGATTTAGGTTAGACATCAGGAAGAAATTCCTCACCATGAAGGGTGTAGTAAGGCACTGGAATGTGTTGCCCATCGAGGTGGTGGAAGCGCCCTCCCTGGAGGTGTTCAAGGCCAGGTTGGATGAGGCTTTGTGCGGCCTGGTCTAGTGGGAAGTGTCCCTGCTCATAGCAGGGAGATTGGAACCTGATAATCTTTAAGGTCCCCTCCAATCTTAACCGTTCTATGATTCTGTGATTTTTTTTGTTTGCCTACACAAAAAGGAAGGAAATTCTGGAGTCAAGGTGAAGCTCAAACAGAACCATAACAAAATCTTTCAACATAATTAATATTCCTAGTACAAAAGGAACCTAGATGTTATTTCTTGCTCTCTTCCCAAAAGCAGATTGTCTTTTTTCTTAGTCTCTGTGGTAATACATGTAACTGTCCAATTGTTGTGCTTAGTTTTAGTCAGGAAATTGGTTTCAGTCATATAGTTAAGACTAAGCCACAAATGCTTATAAACTGTATTTAATATAGGTTGAAATTGTACCTTATGGGACAATTAAGAAGCCCTCCTGAGTTTGTTTCTACATAGTGAGTGAGTGAGCTCTACTGCAGAGCATACTTTACATGAGCACACAAACTGGCTGTTCAAGCTTACTTTGTTGGGTGGGAAAAGCTGCTTTGTGTTGAGATTGTCAGGTTGCTTTCCATAATCACAAACATGATCTCTGGTGTTAAAAACTGTTTTTTTCATTACGAAAATGGTAAGATTTTGTTGTACTTTTAGGTTCTGCATTAGCAGCTAATGTTTGCAAAAAGATCACAGGGCGTCTCACTAGTGCTATAGCCAAGCAGGAAGATGTGTCTGTTCAACTGGAGGCACTGGATATCATGGCTGATATGCTTAGCAGGTAAACGTCTCTCTTCTGGGATCCTGGTGAATGATGTTAAATACTTCTTAACATTTGAACTTTAATTTTCCAAATGTTAAATTTAAATTTTTAAGTTATGTGAAATAATACCGTTAAGTATTAAGTACATATGAAACTTCATTCAGGAAAAAAAAATCTATTGAAGATAAGATGATTGATAGATGAATCACTATTATTATTATTATTGTTGTTGTTGTTGTTATTATTACTATTATTATTATTGTGTTGCTTTATTATTATTTACTTCCAAAAACTGTAGTTTTAAGCTTTCTTAATGCTTATTGCTTTGAGAGTATATTTGAAACTGATTTATTGTTTTTAAAAGTTACAAAAGCTTAAATTTAAAGACTTAATTGAAACATTTGTGATGTTTTGGGAATATTTAAAGGAATTATTGTACAGTATATGAACAAAGTTATCAAGATTCAATTGGTTTGAGTTTGTGTTTTGTCTGTTTTAAGGCAAGGAGGACTGCTTGTTAACTTCCACCCTTCAATTCTGACCTGTCTGCTCCCCCAGCTGACTAGCCCCAGACTTGCTGTGAGGAAAAGAACCATCATTGCTCTTGGTCACCTGGTTATGAGTTGTGGCAATATGGTTTTTGTTGACCTCATTGAACATCTGTTGACAGAGCTGTCTAAAAATGATTCCATGTCAACAACTAGGACCTATATACAGTGTATTGCTGCTATCAGTAGGCAAGCAGGTCATAGAATAGGTAAGAAAAATACATAAATTATCTGTAACTTTAAAACTGTTTAGATTAGAGTAATTACTTTGCTATGTGTTTTTTTTTTTTTGTTTACCAGGAGAGTATCTTGAGAAAATAATTCCTTTGGTTGTAAAGTTTTGTAATGTAGATGATGATGAACTACGAGAGTATTGCATTCAAGCCTTTGAATCCTTTGTTAGGAGGTAAGTTATTTTCAGGTACCTGTTTCAGGCTTTCTTAAGATCTCATAATGTGCTATTCAGTTGCTAGCTGTCAAGTGATGGTCTCCTTCATAAAAAAAATATTTTCACAAGATTTGAGCTGGAGATGTACCTGTTACTCTATGTTGTAACTTAAGTGTTAAGCCATGTCTTATGTCTGTATTTCAGAAGCTTTCTACTGTGCTATTATTACTTATGCAAACAGGAAGGGAGAAGGGGAAGTATTCTAATAATATTTCTTGTCAAATAGTGATGACAAAAAAGTTGATACAGTTACATGGTAGCACTGCCTTTCCTTGCCTTCCTTTGTGAACTTCTGTAATTCAGGTGGATGCATTGATGATACTTGGTTTGGCTAATGTCTCCAGAGTACAGCATGTGGCATGAATTTTTTTCAGAATATTTTAATTCTTCAAAGTAATTTGCCATTGATTGTATTTTTGTATTATGCAGATGTCCTAAAGAAGTTTATCCTCATGTATCTACTATTATAAACATTTGTCTTAAATATCTTACCTATGATCCTAATTACAATTATGATGATGAAGATGAAGATGAAAATGCTATGGATGCTGATGGTGGTGATGATGATGATCAAGGTATATTCCCTTTTTGGTTTGGGGCAGAGGAAGAGCTTGTGAACTTGGACTCATCTAGAAAACTGATATGGGCGGTATTGCTACTAGCATTTGAACCACTTGTATACTTCTCTACTAATTTTTTTACTGTATTTAAACATACCTTATGAACTAATTTCTTGGACTAGAAGTATAGGATGTTGATGCTGGAGATAAATCATTCCAAGGGTGTACATAAAATACAGGACAAATATTTTGAAATACTTGAAAGGTGGCAAAAGCAGAAGCATGTAGGGTGATATAACTGAAGTGAGAAGAAAGTCAGTTAATGATTTGAAGATGCATATTCAACATGGGAGGGGCTTATCACTAATTTACACTATAATATATTGTTACCTAGTGCATAAAATCAGAATAGATTGAAATTTGCAAAATACTCATGATTTTTCTGTAGGATAATAAATGTTTTAGATTGAAGGGCATAGCATATAGTTTATGAAAAAATAGTCAGAGAAGATAATTAATTAGCCTTACAATTTAGGCAGTCTAGAAGACTTTTTTATCTATGTTTCTGAACATGTTTCTGAGCCTTTTTCTGTGGTGTGCCTTACACAGAGAACTCAAGTGTATTATTAATTGTTTAAAATAAATCTCAACGCTTTGATTGTCTAGACTTGAACATATGCATAATTTATTTTTTCAAGGGAGCGATGATGAATATAGTGATGATGATGACATGAGCTGGAAAGTGAGGCGTGCAGCTGCTAAATGTCTGGATGCTGTGGTTAGCACACGACATGAAATGCTTCCAGAATTCTACAAGACTGTATCTCCTGCTTTAATAGCCAGATTCAAAGAACGTGAAGAGAATGTTAAAGCAGATGTTTTTCATGCATATCTTTCTCTTTTAAAACAAACACGACCTGTGCAAAGTTGGCTTTGTGATCCTGATGCAATGGAACAAGGAGAAACACCTTTGACAATGCTTCAGAGTCAGGTTATTTGTCAAGATTTTTGTTATCTTTGAGAAGACACACTGATGTTGTGTGTTTCACGTGTGTGCAAATGTGCTTATCTGACTTCAGTCGTTTGCAGTCACTCCTAATGTCCTGCATGTCCTTTGAGTTTAGCCAAATTACCAAAGCAAAAGAGTTATTTTGTGCATTCTCTACTGCAGATTTAAGCTCAAATGATAAACATAAGGCTTAATTTGCTACAATGTATTTGTTTGCAGGATAAAAAGAATAGTGCTGAAAGGTTTTCCTAGGTGAATTATTTGGTTGATTTTTCCATTGTTGTTCTCTGCAGTTTTATTAAAGCAAATCTAGTTTTGTTTTGCTTCATCTCACCATTTAAGTTAATACTTTTTTTAATAGCAGTTCTTTTGGATCTTCATTTCCCAGTGTTTGTAACTTTTGTAGTTCTGTAGACAAATCAGAAATAGAGGGGTAGGGGACACATCTTTATATCCCCTTAGTGATCAGAGATTAAAAAAATGTTAGCTATTGAATCGATTAACAGATGTGTGATGATTACAGGTCCCCAACATAGTTAAAGCCTTGCACAAACAGATGAAGGAGAAAAGTGTGAAGACTCGTCAGTGTTGCTTTAATATGCTGACTGAGCTAGTAAATGTATTACCTGGAGCCCTAACACAGCATGTTCCTGTACTTGTACCAGGTATGAAAAGCATATTGTTAACTTAAAGATTTATTAGTAATTTGAATGTGAAATTTCAAAATCTAAGTTTTGGTTGTACTTTTTGCAAAACCTTTGAAGCGTTGCTTCTGTTTAAAGCAACTGGCAAAATAATCACCTACTGTGTGGATTCATATAAATATTTTAGTGACATATTTCCATTAATCTTGAAAACGAGGTTTGGCTCTTAAGATTGAGGGTTTTTTTTTCTTGTATATCTAAAAGAAGTTTAATTTTCTCTGTAACAGCAAGATTAAATTGCCACCTTTCTCATCTAAACAGAGCAAAGTATTTTCCGTATTTTGGGACCTAAAATATTGAATTTTGAAATAACAAGGGAAAGTAAGTTTGGAAAAGTTAAAGTTTAGAATCCCATTATAATTAAGAAAATACATCACAAACCACTAAATAGTCTATGATCTCTGTGTAGAGGACACTTTAAAACTAATTGGTTGAATAAAATGTTTAAATTTATTTAATAAAACAATGGAAGGTTCTTGGAAGCAGTTGAGAAAGTCTGGGAGCAGGAAAAACTGAGTATAGTTGCCTTCAGAAATTTTGAAATGTTCTAACAGAATATAAATACCTAACCTAAAAATACATTTCTCTTTTTTACTTCCAGGAATAATTTTTTCACTGAATGACAAATCAAGTTCTTCTAATCTGAAGATAGATGCTTTGTCCTGTTTGTATGTGATCCTCTGCAATCATTCTCCCCAGGTCTTTCATCCTCATGTTCAAGCATTGGTACCTCCAGTTGTAGCTTGTGTTGGAGACCCATTTTACAAGATAACATCAGAAGCGCTTTTGGTTACCCAACAACTTGTGAAAGTAATTCGGCCTTTAGACCAGCCTTCTTCCTTTAATGCTACTCCTTACATCAAAGATTTGTTTACTTGTACAATCAAGAGATTAAAGGCTGCTGACATTGATCAGGAGGTGAAAGAAAGGGCAATATCTTGCATGGGTCAAATAATTTGTAGTCTTGGTGACAGCCTAGGCACAGACTTGCCCAGCACACTTCAGATCTTCCTAGAGAGACTGAAGAATGAGATCACTCGGTTAACTACAGTGAAGGCCATGACATTGATTGCTGGTTCTCCTTTGAAGATAGATTTGAGACCAATCCTTGGGGAAGGAGTTCCTATTCTTGCTTCTTTTTTGAGAAAGAACCAGCGAGCTTTGAAACTGGGCACTCTTTCTGCTCTAGATATTTTAATTAAGAATTACAGTGATAGCTTGACAGCTGCCATGATCGATGCTGTCCTGGATGAACTTCCACCTCTGATTAGTGAAAGTGATATGCATGTATCTCAGATGGCCATCAGTTTTCTGACAACGCTGGCTAAAGTATATCCTTCCTCCCTGACAAAGATTAGTGGGTCCATTCTCAATGAACTTATTGGGCTGGTGAGGTCGCCTCTACTTCAGGGTGGAGCGCTTAGTGCCATGCTAGAATTTTTCCAAGCTTTGGTTGTGACTGGTACAAATAACTTAGGCTATATGGATTTACTGCGCATGTTAACGGGTCCAGTGTACTCACAGAGCACAGCACTTACTCACAAGCAGTCTTACTATTCCATTGCCAAATGTGTTGCTGCCCTTACTCGGGCCTGCCCCAAGGAAGGACCAGCTGTTGTCGGCCAGTTCATTCAAGATGTCAAGAACTCGAGGTCCACGGATTCCATTCGGCTTTTGGCTTTGCTTTCTCTTGGGGAAGTTGGGCATCACATCGACTTGAGTGGACAAATTGAGCTGAAGTCGGTGATACTAGAAGCGTTCTCTTCTCCTAGTGAAGAAGTCAAATCGGCGGCTTCTTATGCTTTGGGCAGTATAAGTGTTGGCAATCTTCCTGAGTATCTGCCATTTGTCTTACAAGAAATAACCAGCCAACCTAAGAGGCAATACCTTCTTCTTCATTCCTTGAAAGAAATAATTAGCTCTGCATCAGTGATTGGTCTGAAACCATATGTTGAGAACATCTGGGCCTTACTCCTGAAACACTGCGAATGTGCAGAAGAGGGTACAAGGAATGTTGTTGCTGAATGCTTGGGCAAGCTTACCTTGATAGACCCAGAGACGCTGCTTCCACGCCTCAAGGGGTACTTGGCATCAGGTGAGTAGTAGTAACTCATGTATACTGTAGCAAGCTGCCATATGCTGCCTGTTAATAAAATGATCCAGTTTTGCCAATTATTTCCTTAAATTTTGAGTGCCTCTTGAAGTTTTTCTGTCCTCCTACCCCAACAATGTGAAGCTTAGATGGCTCCATTTTTGCTAAAATAATTTAGTCATACATAACATGAATTAATTTTATGTTCTGCTTTCAGACTGTGGTATTTAAATTAATCATGTTATGTTTAAGTAAGAGTTATAAACTTAAAGGGGAGGAGGGAGCATGGGTGTCAAAGAGACAGCACTACTTGACAAACCAGTTGCAACATGTTGATGTATTGTTGAAAGTTACAGCATTCCTGATTTCCAGATAAGGATTCTGAATTTTTTAAGAATTAGGAAGGATCATTCTGCATAACTTATTAATCAGTTTCATATCAAGAATATTGACATGTTTTCTTCATGTACTTCTGCTTTAAAGAGGAGGATGGTTTGTAGGCCTAGGTAGTGAGTAAAAAAAATAATCCGTCATATTTAGGCTCATTACTTGAATTTTCTGTAGCAGATAATGTTGCATGCTTATTACAGATGTTGTGGTCTCTTTTTCTGTGTTTAAAATGTAACACGAGTGCATCTATGGAGAAAACATTGCATTGCTGGTAGTAAGTAACGTTTCTTCTTTAGTGTTCTTGTGAGTATTGGAAGCTTAAAAGGAATGGAATTGAACATAATGTAAATTCTGTAGTTGTACTCTTTTAACATTATATATGTTCACTTCTGTTTCATATTAGGGTCCTCATATGCTCGGAGTTCGGTGGTTACTGCTGTCAAGTTCACTATTTCTGATCATCCACAACCTATAGACCCACTGTTGAAGAACTGCATAGGTAAGATCTCTACATCAGTGACAGGTTCTAGGTTTTCAAGCAATAGAATTGCACTTAAAAACTCTTGTGTATTCAGAAAAAAAAAAAAGCAGGTACCAGAGTTAGCTGCTAATGGTAACTGTTGGAACAGTTATAAAGGGTTTGAATACAAGCCAGCTTATTTCTGTTAATTCTAGCTTACTTGTATTCTAAGCAGTACTGGTTGTGTGAGAAAAGTGGTATGTATTGAATTTGTCATGGATGTAGAATACAAGGAGCTAGGGCTTTTAGTAAGACACAACCTAAAGGTGGTTTCCTTTTCCATGCTCTTGCCAAGTTTTATCAGTTCACTGCAGTAAGGTACTGCCTTTACCCAGAAGACTGGTCTTGGGGAAGTATTTGACATTCAGTCATTAAAAATGTATATACACATGTGGATTCTGAGGATTACCAGGTGGCAAATTGTAATTTTAGGTCCTTAGGATTCTGTAATGCTTTGTGATCAGAGTTACTGGAAGTGTGTGTATTTTTGTAGGGATAAGGTAATCAGAGCTTTCACACAGCATCAGTGTGATGAAAAGCTTTGCAATGCTGTGTTTTTTTGTTCTTTGTTTCATTTGTATGACAAAGTACTGTAGACGTGTTTAATATGCTATGGTGAGTGTTTTATAGTACCTTTATATTGCAGGTTTAAAGACCTGTAAGTATTGTGTATACTGCTAAAACTAATAGGGGGAAAGGATTAATCTTTGAAAACATAGTTTTGTAGAGAGCAAGGTTTTTATTTATGGGCAGGTGGTGTCAGTTCCTATGTGTTATTTTCATCACTAAGCCTAACATTTTTTAATACGTTTAATATGTTAATATGTTTAATAATTGAATATGCTTGTGGGTTTTCCCCCTGTTGTCCCTTCTTGCTGCCTTGCCTCTTTTTTTCCTGGAAATACTGGTTATCCAGTGAAAAAATAGTGCTATCTAATACTTTAAAAATCTCAGTCATCTTTAGTTTTGTCACCAGGGTTGTTTAGGTTTTGTCTATTTTTTTTTTTCTGTGTAGAAGTCATTTTGATGTGTGCATCCTTTTGTATTTCTTATTTTCAAAATCCCACCACTCTTGGAAGTTGCAAGTAAAACTTCAGCAACTTTGGGGAAAAAATATTATCACTTTCTGCAGGCATTTATTTTAACAAGACTATTTTACAGAACTGTAGATACTCTAAATTGAAAGTGCCTGGAGAGTGTGGTGGGGTAGGATGGGATGAGAGAAATGTTGCTACGTTATTATGTACCGAGTGGGCTTATCTTCTGGTAGTTTAAGAATTCTCAATATATGCCACTTTAAGGGTCAAAAATCGATATATTGATAATTTCTGTATAAGGTGTTCTCTAATTCTTAAACTGCAGAATCTAAATTGGTTTTCTAATACATATTCTGAGATACTTTAACGGAGAAAAGGAAAGATTGTTTTAAATACAGTTTTCATTAATATACCCACTATACCTTTTTAAAAAAATGTTGAAGTATCATTAAGTGATAGCTGCTTATTTTGGTGGTGGTTTTTCTACTGCTGTTTAATTATCTGAAGTGCTATATACCTCAGTTATATAATAGTTTTGATACAATTATAATTAACGTATTTGTGTATTCATGCTAAAATAACAGGTATTGGTTTGTGTTACATCAAAATAAGTCCTGCACTGAAGATGTCCTTTCAAAAGGTAAAACTAAGTGAAGATATTTTGCAAGTAGCAATTATATTTCTGTACTTGATTGCAGGTGATTTCCTGAAAACATTGGAGGACCCAGATCTCAATGTCAGGAGAGTAGCCCTAGTGACATTTAACTCAGCTGCACACAATAAACCATCATTAATAAGGGACCTCTTAGATACTGTGCTTCCTCATCTTTACAATGAAACAAAAGTCAGAAAGGAATTAATCAGAGAGGTATGTTAATAAGAAAACCAGTGCTAAATATACATAAGTAGATTCTTTGTTTTTCTAAATATATAACTACTTAAATTTGTTTTTTATTCACTGACAGGTGGAGATGGGACCATTTAAACATACAGTTGATGATGGGCTGGACATAAGGAAAGCAGCTTTTGAGTGCATGTATACTCTTTTGGATAGCTGTTTGGATAGACTAGATATATTTGAATTCTTAAATCATGTTGAAGATGGCCTGAAGGATCACTATGATATTAAGGTTAGCAATCCTTTTCCTCCGTGTAAGTAGTGATACAGTGAAAATATTTTACATAGTGAAAATACTGAAATGGTAAAAATATGACTTCCTGTGCTTAAGTACTTCACTGTCTTTGCCATTTTCATTGAAGTGTTGCTGTTAAAAAAAATAAGAATCTCCATATATGTGCTGAGCATAACTGATTATTGAATTGGTTTTCTCTCCGCCTAGATGCTAACCTTTTTAATGTTGGTGAGATTGTCTACCCTTTGTCCAAGTGCCGTGCTACAGAGGCTGGATAGGCTGGTTGAACCCTTGCGTGCCACATGTACAACTAAGGTATTGTTTTAAATTTAAAACTTAATTATTTTATGTTGTCTTTTAAAAGTATAAATGAACTTAAGTATGAAGAATACTTCTGAGAATCTCAGTGTGTTGCTGCAGCATTTCCTGAGTGATAGCTCATGAGCTGCAGTAGAGCAATATAAATTTGTGGACCCCTGTATATATCTTAAATTTCTTTAAATTACAAATGGAAGAGTAGACTTGTTAGCTTCTTTTTTAAAATCCTTTGTTTCTTTGATGCCATTTCTTTTGTTCCTTGAAAACCTATTTACAACTTGGGCAACTTGAAAGTCTTGTTTCATTATACATAGTGAAACTGGAATACTGAGAGTTTTTCTGACTTCTCATGATTATGTTGTTGCAGACAAGTATTTGATTGTCAAAGGATGGAGGCAGTGTAAAGCTATCCTGGTTTTGTTGGGGTTTTTGTTTTTTTTTCCCCCCCTTCATTTATATTACAAGATTCTTAGGTCTTATCACAGTCTCCTTCTGTTCCTCCTCTTATACTTGATCCACCTCCATATTCTTACAGTCATTTAAATTCTGATTTACTATGCTTTTCCATTACTGTGATCTTTTATATTTCATGTGAATAAATTTGCTTTTAATAATAATGTATTATATCACTGAAGCGTCTTTGAGAATTATCTCAAATTTAAGCAGTTATTCTAATAAAGGTCAACTTTTGTAAAATTTCTGTACTCTGGAAGCTAGAATTATTGTGATACTATAATTTTAATGTTGTTTGCTGACCTTACTAGCTAGAGGTTGGTTACGGCAATTGTTATGATTTGGTAATTGACTTGGTACGTACAGACTTTTTCTGCTTAAATTGCAATATTCAATTTCAGTCTTACTTGTAAACTCATATGTTTGTAAAATTTGTAAAAGTAGATGATTGGAGGGGTTTTTTTGTTGTTGTTTGTTTTTTTTTAAGAGCTTAGGCCATTTTAAAAGCTATGCAAAGTGGTAGTATGAAAAGAAGCAGGTCTTTCTAAGGTCCTTTTTTCATTTTAAGGTGGGTGTAGAGGGAGGGTTAAGTGAAAGTTTCAAAGATTTTAATTTTTTTCCCTAGGTAAAGGCAAACTCAGTAAAGCAGGAGTTCGAAAAGCAAGATGAACTGAAACGATCTGCTATGAGGGCAGTAGCAGCGCTTCTAACCATTCCAGAAGCAGAGAAGAGTCCACTAATGAGTGAATTTCAGTCACAGATAAGCTCTAACCCTGAGCTGGCAGCCATCTTTGAAAGTATCCAAAAAGATTCATCATCCACTAACTTGGAATCAATGGACACTAGTTAGATGTTTGCCCAAAATGGGGACCATTATGTTGAACCATATGATGCACTGAATTGACAGGTTATAAGTAAGAAACAGAAAAAGTATCTAATCTACACATTGTTCCACTTTATTTACCTTTATGGAGACAGTTGGCTTTTCCCATTGTTGCTTTTTTAGCCAGAATTATTCCAGAAATGTATTTCCATAATACAGAATTTGTTAACCACTCTTGTTTTAGTGGATTTGGCCACCTTTGGGAATTAAAAAGTTGATGCATGGTGTATGGAAATAGGTTCCAACATCTATTTGCCCTGTAATGTTTAGGATTAAAATGTCAAAATTTTGTGACCACGATATTTTTTTCCCTTTTATTCATTCTTTCTGCTTGTAAACAAAAAGGGTGGGAGGTGGGAATCAAGCATCAAGGTGTGCACCGTGTTTTTGTATAACTTTTTATTCTTTTTGGTTTCAGCTTCATAAATTGGTTTGGCTGGCAGATTAGTTCTGTGTAAGATTTATTACATTAAAAAGAGGGTTTGAGCACAGTTCAAAAAAAGCAGACGTAAATGTCATTTTTTAAAGGTGTTTGGATTAGAAAACAAATATCCCTGTTGTGCACACTAAATTTTGCATGAGCAAGTTTTCAAATATATATTGTCTGTAAAACAGCATGTGCAGTTTATTGTAATGCAAGTTAAAATAAGTTCTACTGTATCAGTGCAGTTTTCAGGTATTTTGTCATACAGAACATTCATACAGGAAGGGATGAATGAAGGTTGGTTGTCTTAATCTGGCTTTTTTAAAGTGCCAGTACTGTGACCCTGCAGATGTTCCTACAGCATATATGACAACTCTTGCATTTTTTTAGTTTTTCATACTCAAAAGCTGGATCCCCTGAAATTGAGGTGGACAGACCTGAAGATTTGAGGGAAATAAGATGAGATGGAGGTCAAGTAAGGAGAGAGCAATAGCTGCTCAGTGTCTACTGAACTCTAGATTCAACTTTGCTTTTGCTATAAAAGTATGAAAGTAGGTTTCTTCAGAGGCTTCTACCTCCTTCATGCAACAGCTTTTGTTAAGGTACTAATACACAGTGTTACCCAGATAAGTATTGCCAGGCCATCATTTTGTGCCTGTCAAAATCTTTTCTGGCACATGGAACCACCGGTAGATCATAGTGCTGCAAGTGTCATATACCGTGTTCTGGTGAGATAGGAAAGGAAATGGCTTTAAGACTGAAGGGAGAAAGCAAACAGATACCAGAAAAAAAATTTGCCATGAATATGCTGGAGTGATGTAAAAGTGGATGAGAAAGTGATAGCTGGCAGTCCCATAATGAACTGGATTTGGGAATTTAATAGCAAAAGATGGGGAACCACTGCCTCAAATTGAGACTTGTCATTACTTGGTTAATTAAATTCCTGAGTTGTTTGTTGTTTTTTTTTTGTTTTTTTGTTTTTAGTCAGATCAGGGGGTTTTTTTTTGTTTGTTTTTTTTTTTAGTCAGATCACAATTATATTTTTCTCTAGTTAGGTGGTATTTTTTAGCTAGTTTGATATTTTGAAAACCTGTTACATGGATACGTGGCATAATCTGCTATGTGATTAAACAAACATACATTTTTATGGCCTCAAAGACAGTTTCCTGTGAGCACTGGGATTTGGGGCAAACTCTTTACCTTACATGCTTGCAGCTTGGGAGAAGCAGGGGAGAACTTGGTGCATTTTACTTCAATAAAAGGACCTGAACAAATTGATCTATGAGTTCATTCAGTAGTAACAATTTTAATGCTGTAGAAATTTTTGAAATTGTAGTTTTATCTGTCTCCAAAGTCTTCATACTAATGTAACAATTGTCTTCTAGAAGTAGAAATAAATGAGATTAAACATACCAACATATCTAAATGTCATGAAAAAAAATGAGATGGCTCTAGAGAGAAACCATATGGTAGAAAAAGTACTGGGAATTAAGTGCATTTTATCTTGCTGTATAACTCATCTACTTCAATTACAGCAATATACAGGCCTCCTAATTAAGAGTCTGTTGTGCTAATTAGTTGTCAAACTAATCTTAGAACTTTTGTATGAAGTTTTCAGAACGCATTAAAATGTTTTATAGACCTAAAGCTAGGTGTGAGAATGGCATGATAAACATGAAATGTGAGGCTAAAATGTATAAACAGAGTAGGTGGCAATGGTAAGTAAACAGAATACTTGAAGTGGAGAGATTGGTGTGTGTTTATGTACTACCATAACTTCTAATGTGGTGGATGAAAGTCATCTTCACTTTCTTTTATAATATATGACAATGGAGCAAGCTTGAGGAGAGAAGGCTGAGCTATATTACATAGTGGTGCTTTCTTGCAAGAGAGTTGTTTTCACTTTGACCACTGATAAAGCAGGAGGGAATATAAGAATTTAGTCTTCCCTGTAAATTACAGAAATTCTAAGAGTATGATTCTCTCCAAGTAGGAGTTGGTTTATTTTGGCAGGAAGACAGGTTGATAATTACTGAAATTATTTATTATCTGACCAGGTCTTGTTTTCAAATTCCAGTGACTTTCACTGGGTCTCTTGATTGAAAGATAATTTATTTGTTTTTTCCCACTGTATATCCAAGTATTTGGGTAAATCTTGTGTATCTCTGCTTTTAGTGCAATTAGGTTCAGGTAATTCTGGTGGTGGTATCAGGAATACATGTAGGTGTTCTTTAAATGCTAAATACCTGAAACTATAATACAAAATTACTCTCACTAAAAACAAAACCAGAATTCTGAAAGGCTGCTCTTACAGATGTTTGGTATGAGTAGAACTTTCTTTCATCATTTTGTACACAGACAATTGAGACCAATTAATAAGCTTGAATGTAATATAGAAATGGTTAGTCCTCACGTTGTACATTTTTGCCCTTAAAATATTTTTGTATCTCAAAAGTACTTAATGCTCTGATTTCCATGAAAAATCTTGCCATCCTTGAAAGGGAGGTATTTCATAAAATTAAAAATTGAAAACTACAAGTACCTTAAGAATGCTGCACTTCAATCATGTAAATTGATTTTTAAAATACAATTTTCCTTGAAAATGTTACATCTAATACAGCAGTTGGCAAAATAAAAAGAGCTGAACTACCTCCAGATTGTATTTTTATGAGGTGAACAAAGTAGTACATACACATACAAGCAGCATTGCTTCTCTCAAATGAAGGATTATATTAATGTTTCGTCAACTCAAATTAGAAATAAGAATTAAAAATTCAAATCTGCTCCTATTGTATTTGACTTAACAGATACACTCAGCAATGATGCTAGGAACAAGTTCACCCTGCTCTGGTGGACTGCTTAGTCATAGTGATTTAGCAACTGTGCTCCTATTTGCTGGTACTTGCCCTTCCTTACCTCCCCTTTGAAATGACTTTAAAAGCAAAGTAACATGTGGCCTTGGAAGTGTGGGGTTTGGGTTTTTTTTGGTTTTTATTTCGTTAATCTTGTTCATTCTGATTGAAATGACACCTGTTTCTGCCACATAGCAAACAGTGAAGCCTGCAGCATTGGAGTTTAATTTACCTGTTGCTCTAACCTTCATACTTTTTGTTGTTATTGCTGTTCTTATGGTTAATTTTAGATAAATGAAAAATACTAGTTAGCTTATTACATTCTTTTTGTCCTTGTTTCCTCCTTGCTGTGGATGGAAAGCTTTGCTTGCTGCACTGTTGAACGTGAATAGGCAAGTGTTGTGACAGTGAGCGGGACCTCCTCCTCCAGAAGAGCCCTCCAGTGTAGGGTTATAGCCCTTACACTAACACTAACCTTTTCCAACAGTATCCATTTATGATTTTTCATTGTGTCTTGAGTTTGGGGGAGGAATTCTTGAGAATAGTGAAGTAAATTAATCTTCCATGACCAGTGTTGGTGAAGCGGGGAAATGTTCTGCAAGAGGTACTTTTCTGAGGATCAGGCAATTTTGATAAGGGAGTTAAACTTACTTGGATTTGTTTCCACCCCGTGAGGCTTTAATGTTACCATATAATGGTTGTTGAGGAGAAAACTGCCTTCAGAAAGGTCATCCATCCCCCAAAACAAAAGGATTTCTGTTCATTTTAGTCAGTGTATTGTGGTTTAAAGCATAACCCTGAACCAGAGGACAAAAAAGACTGTTTCTGAGAACCATGCAGATGCTGGCTGGAAGATCTTGCCTGAAATACAGTGCTAAGAAAGAGAAGATGAAATCTTAAAGTGAGGATATTTTCATTTAAAATTATTCTCCTTTCTTTTGGGTTCTGCTTTTTATCTTTTTTTTTTTTGAAGAATGGGAAGTAGAGAAGGAAAAAAATAATTAGCAAGCTGTGAACTTCAGTG